TATGTGTTCTGAATATGTTCGGAGGAAACCATTATCATTGACATAACAGAGCAAGAAGACAACCAAATATGAAATGGTTAAAGCCCAAACGTATTTTATGTGTTCCGTGTTAGCGTTTGAGTGCATGGATATTACTAACAAAAACAGCCATCAGTTAGATAATTCGGGCCCACATTGCGTTCAATTTGTCATACAGATTACATAAAACAGAAAAAAAACTAAAACTTGAATGCAATTCGTCTTTAGATTTTGAATCAACACATTGAAAACATACCGAACACGTTTTAACAAAGACACGAACAAACATGACCAAACAAAGAAGTCGTCAACTCTTTATCCTCACCCTTGAACTAGGAGGAGCTACAACGACTGACGCGTGCCTGAGAGCCATTTCACGAGTGTGCGATTTAAAAAAATCGATACCAGAATTAATTCTAAAAAAGTGTTGCGAGTGTCTTGCCCTTTGTGTGGTATCAGATGGGCTGAGAGCTGGGGGAGGAGCCCATTACCACCGCACGCGCGCCCCCAGCCCCAATTTGATAATTGTCAAAATTATCGGGTAGATAACGAGCCCAAGAGTCAGTTCGTGGTTTACCCGCGACTCTCCGCCGGCCTTTGTGTTGAGTGACAGGTCATTGACGAGTTAGTGGCCTCAGGGTTGCATGACTAACTCTGGATGAAATCTGGTAGTGGAGGAAGAGTTTGTGGCCTCCTGATAGGATGGTCCAGGAAGAAGAATTAGTAGCCTCCTGAAAAGATGCTCCTCAAAGAATGACAATTTGCTGTTCTGTGTTTGTAGCTTTCTGATAGGATGGCCATCAAAGAAGAGTTTGTAGCCTCCTGATAGGACGATCCTGACGACCATAGCTTCCTGATAAGATCAACAAACAGAACACAAGTCTATAGCCTCCTCATAAGATAGTCCCGAAAGAATAGTCTGTAGGCTCGTGATGGGTCGTTGTTTCTTACGGAGATTTCGTGACCATAAGGCAGCAAGTAACTTTTCTGAATGCCATGGTTTTGGTAGTGAAAATAATTAACTGAATCAGGATAAATTGGTCGTAAAAAGAGTTGATTTTGGTACAGTAGCTGATAGTATTATCCTGAAAAAAGAATCCTTGTCGTTCTTAAAGCATGGCCGTAGAATTCATTCATTGCATACAAATAGCAACTAACTCTCGCGATTTTTATCATGAATTCATCGGTGATTAATAAGAGTTGCCTAAATCAAGATTTTTAAGAAGTTCGTGAAGAAGAAGACTTTGTTGATCCTAGATAACATGACTAACTTCTGGATGTAACTTCAGTAGGATACGTTGACTGAATCTCAATATAAACGTCGTTAGGAGAATGAGTAATTGTTTCCAAATAGATCTTGGATGTCGAGTTATTGTATTTCCGAATTAACAGAATTGAATTGAATAAAACCATGGACAAGTAAAACAACTATAAGAGTCGCTGAACCGAATAGAGGACGCCTGAAAAAAGATTTAGCTGCGTCTTTCGTCTTTGTAGAACTGTCCTAGAAATATATTAGAGTAGCTTGTGGATAAAATGGCTCTGGATTAATTCTCTGGCCAGAAAGGTCTTCAAGAAGTAGTTAGCTGCTTCTGTGTTAGCAATGTCTTTGGAGGAATAATCCAAGGAAATTTTAAACTGCGGAAACTTTTAAAAATATGTTATGGAATTCCCCCCTATTGTTTTTTTTTGCTTTTATAGAAATTTGATAACCTCTTCGGGTTGAACGCTATACTGCTGAAAACCTTTACAACAAATTTCTAACAGAAGGCAACAGTCAGTACAGTCCTGTTTGGAGCTTGCGTTGAACGAATTGAAGGATAAAGTAAAATCCAGCGTTGGTCCTTGTTTGGCATTGACTACTAGTAGTACAAAAGCTAGTCAATGCTAGTACTCAAATGGTTCTCGTCCGTGTTTAAGCACAGATTAAACATGTTTTAACCGATTGTGTTATTTTATATTTTTATTTATATTCTCAAAATAGGTTATACTATGTGATTATTTTTATGTAAAATTATATGTTAGTTGAATTAACTTCCCGTCGCTAAGTGTTGAACCCCACACTATACGTTTTGGGAGGTAAGGAAACGCCTCATGTATTCAAGGGACTAATATTTATGCTAACCTACTTCTTGTTAGTCTATTAACCTATCGTTACTGTGTGAAAACACAAATCTCCATCCAATGAACTTTAAAAGTACTTAATTATCCTCCGCACTCATTGACTTTAAAACACTCGACTACGATTTTGAAGTGTTGTCAATCACGTACTGGGAAACAAATAGGTTTTTGAATCAAATTATTTGGATTACTCAAGAAGACCTTGTTTTACTTTATCTCTTGGTCCACAAATAAAATCGTCTTAATTTGACAATAAGCAGTAAAAATGTTTTTCAAAGCCCAGTGTTCATGAATGGCAGGGCCCCGTTTCAAACCACCAAATGATCTTCTTCGGCGACTTTTGATTATAAGATAAGCATCATAACCAACTATTCACATATCGTCATTCTAACTTTTTCCCACTAAATGCACTATCAACACATTTTGGCGCTCGATCGACCCCGACGCGGGCCCTTGGTGTGTTTAATCTCAATAGGATTTCCACGGTATAAATTACCATCACTAATTGTCTGTGGGGAGCTTGGTGGCATATGACGACCAGGGCTGTCCGTCCCATGGGGCCTCCTCAAAGAACTAAGCCTATTTGTCACAGGGCGTATAACTGTATTACGACGGGGGACGGTTATCATCGTATGATACGGTCGTAATGTAAATAGACAGACCGCCAATGTAGATATTATCTGTGGGTAAATTGTCCGTTCAGTCCCTGGTGCGAGTATTAAGAGCTGACTAGGTTGGAATAAAAATTACTTATAGGAGAAATTTCATACTGAATTGTGTGAAATCGTGCGATTCTATACTCAACAGCTTCAGTACGACAGCAACATGAGTTTCTTTGTTATTGTCTAAGATCAGTTGTAACTTACGCCAACTGACTTCTCAGGATTGAACTGGTGACCTCCTGAGTGTCAAGCTAGCACTTTAACCACTCAGCTATCCTACCACTAGCTGAGTGTTTATGGATAGGACGAATAAATTCAAAACTACTATCATAGATTAAAAGAAGTGTACTCCTTTTATCTATGCTACTATGCAAGTTTTTGTCAATATTCGATTATGCATTAATAGCTTCAGGGTTTAAATTTTGTTAAAGATTCAGGATTTTACAGTCATAATAAACATCAAATGAAGATATCATTTAAAGAATATGGAATTCCCAGCGCTACTGGGCCTAAACAGATTACATTTTGGACTGTAAAAAACACATCATCGTTCTAAGCCTTGCACGAGACAAGTCCGTACTTATGTGAGTTATGGTAGGTTGATTTCGGGATTGACACACCCTAAAAGATACAACATAATTCCACACTTCAAAATATATTTTAAAATGTTTGGATTAAATGAAAATACATTCTCTAGATTACCAAGGCTTTGAATGAGTAGTCCATTCCTATGTTAGTTTAAGACAACTTAAACTCAATAATGTCTACAAAAACATTTCTAAAATCAAAATTTACGTATTTTGATTGAGCCACCGATGGAATTTGCTGCTATCGATTACTACTGATTTCTCACTTTAGCAAGCATCAAAGTATGCCACATCAAATATGTAAGCATTGACTATTGGAATAGTCAAAGATGTAAGTAACGAAAATGAAGAGACAATAATTTTTGACAGTATCAATCTTAAACATACTTTAGCAGCTCATTTAACATGGTTTAATTTGATTGATATAAATTAGATGTTTACTGTAGTATACAAAAGTCATTGGTCCATATAAACTATATTTGCCCAACAACCAAAGTGGAATTCAAATGACCTTCCTGGATTTTTTATAAGTTTCACTGTTTCCTAGAGACGAAAACTTCCAACAAAACCGTCTATTTGATGGTTAAACGACGCAGTTTCCATCCCAGGACTAATTTCACTTCCCCTCATGGTGTATCTGATCTTGGATTGTTCAGTAATAAAGTTTCACCTACCACGCCTCCTATTAAAAGTCGATGCATGTAAAAAGCGAGTCATTTCGAGCGCCCCTTCCCATCTGCTGGTCTACAAGCTACCCTCAGCCCTAAAAAATGAATTTTTCACGGTCGATGTGCGGTTAATCTATGTTTGACTTTTTAGTTCGAGCGCGAAAATTGATAGGTTTTTATAGTTGGTTTTGGTAGTCGTTTAACGCTGTTCATGCGAGTTTGTAGCTATTTTAAAGGATTTACTGTTGTTTTTTCTTTCCTTGAACTGTATAGTTGGTATCGAAGATTGCATTAGCAGGACAACCACTGACTTCTGTATAAAGAGCTACTAAATAATTTGTAAACAAATTGAAATAATTATTTTGAAAGCGTGAAGAATACTGATATTGGATGATATTTCAAATTATTACAGATACGTTGTAGACATTATAATTAACTTTGGATACTACAAGCAAAGCTTCTCATTCGACTGTAATTATGAAGCCTGTTTTGGCGTGTTTCATGTCTGATTACGTTTAATGCCCTTATCCCAACCTAAAGTTGTTTTCTTGATTTAGGGTGAATTTTACTGTGAATGATAGTTTTACCATAGATAAAACATACTCCCTTAGGTTTTACTACTTGTCTTCCTCTTAGATTTTAATAACAGGAGACTATCACGAGTTACTTAATAGTTTTTTTAAGGTTAAAATCGCTACAAAGCTTTTTAAGTAACGATAATTCAGTACTCAATAAAACGCACTATTTGTGCTGTTTGGTATTTTTATAGTTATCATATGTTGCATATTTGATGTTTGTTTTTATTGTATTGTTGTTTTGAGCTTGAAGACTTACTTTTGGGATCTTGGCTAATAAAGTATCTATGTTTAACTGTGGTGTGAGTTTTACCTTTCACTTCATGGTGTCAGGTTAAATAAACTTTTGTGGAGAAGAAAGAACTAAGCATGGCTGAAGCAGTGAGTAGTACAGTTAGTACAGTTCAATACCAACTTGTCACACCTGAGCCTTTCAATTTCAGGGAACCTTCTGAATGGCCTAGATGGATAAGAAAATTTGAAAGGTTTAGATTAGCTTCAGGATTAGACAGTAAGAGTGGGGAAAATCAAGTTAATATGCTTTTATACTGTCTAGGAGATGAAGGAGAAGACCTTCTAACATCTTTCGGATTAAAAGATGAAGAATTACAGAGTTATGACACTGTCAAGGGTAGATTTGAGTCTTACCTAGGTTTCAAAATCAATATTGTATATGAGAGAGCTAAATTTCTAAAAAGACGTCAGTCTGAGGGGGAACCTGTTGATTCTTTTATAAATAGTTTACACAAACTGGCAGAGCGATGTAAACTTGGGGAATTAAAAGATGAACTAATTAGAGATTTGATAGTAATTGGGGTAAATGATGATAAACTTTCTCAAAATTTACAGTTGGATGAAAAATTAACCTTAAGTACAGCAATTTTGAAAGCAAGACAAGCAGAGAGTTTAAAACAACAACAAAAAGTAGTGAGGGAATCACCAGAAATTGAGTTTGTCAATAAGGGGATTAAGCAATCCACTAAACATCGGTTTAGGGACAGTTCTTGCAATAAAAGTCAAGATCAAAGCTTTTCAATGAAAGGTAAATGTAACAAATGTGGATTCGTTGGGCATCACAATAACAATGATTGTCCTGCCAATCAGTCTACATGTTTCAGATGTGGAATAAAGGGACACTATGTGAGATGTTGTACCAAAGGATTTGAAGTGAGAGAAATTAATAACAGTAATGAACCATTAGAAAAACCTAAAACCTATTTAGGGGAATTGACCATAGAAGAGGTTGGAGGACAAAATCCTTGTAAAGTAAAACTTAATGTTAAGGGGCATGATATTTATTTTAAGTTAGACACTGGAGCAGATGTTTCTATAATTGGATATGATCTTTGCAAGGAGTTAAAACTGGAAACCAATCACCTATGCATCGAGATCTTTATCACCGACAGAGATGCGTTATGCTCAGATAGAAAAGGAGGCACTGGCACTGACTTGGGCATGTGAGAGATTTTCACAGTATGTTTTAGGAACCGAGTTTGAACTTATGACTGACCATAAACCTTTAGTTCAGGTGCTTGGAAGTAAACAAATCGCTAGTTTATCGGCAAGACTTCAGCGGTTAAGAATGAGAATGGCTTGTTTTAGATATAAAGTAACATATGTGAAAGGAAAGGAATTTTATGTACCAGATGTTTTGTCTAGGAACCCCATTAAGTCAAATGAAGAACATGAAGACATATTGGAACAAGATTTGTTTGTTCAGAGTATTTTAGATGCTATTCCTTGTTCTGACAAAAGGCTCAAGGAAATCAAAGAAGCTCAGGATACTGATGAGGAATGCGGAAGGATTAAATCCTGGATTGTGAATAACAATTGGAATAAAAATTCGGTGTATTGGAAGTACAGGACTGATCTAAACATCAGTAAAGGATTCCTCCTTTTAGGCACAAGACTGTTTATTCCAAAATCGTTGAGAAAGGAAATACTGAGTAAAATACATGAAGGTCACATGGGAATTGTCAAATGTCGAAGGCGAGTGTATGAATCGGTGTGGTGGCCTGGCTGCTCAACAGATATTGCTACACTTGTAACAAATTGTCCAGTTTGCTTGGAGCAAAGAAGTAACAAATCAGAACCTTTACTGTTGACTGAACTACCAAAAAATCCCTGGGAGTCTTTAGGTATTGCCCTTTTAAAATGTAATGCGAAATGGTATTTAGTTGTGCAAGACTACTATTCTAGATTTCTTGAACTGGTTTATGTGGATTCATTGACTACTGAGGCTGTGGTTGCTAGATTGAAAAATATATTTGCTCGACATGGAGTACCATATGTGGTAAGAGCTGATGGAGGTCCGCAATTTACTTCTCAGGATTTTAAAAATTTTGCTGAAGAATATGGTTTCCGTATAGTGACATCAAGCCCAAGGTATCCACAATCAAACGGAGAAGCAGAAAAAGCAGTTGACATAGCGAAGCGGATTCTAACGAAATGTAGTGATCCAAATCTTGGATTGTTAGAATATAGAAATACACCCTTAGAGTCTGGTCTTTCACCTGCAGAGTTACTTTATTCACGGAAGCTCCGATCAACATTACCGTCAATAAATAACTTCAGACAGGTAACAAGGGAAAGATTGCAAAAGTTTAAAGAGAAGGATTTTTCAATCAAGGAAAGAAATAAGAGAAACTACGATGTAAGGAAAGGTGTAAGAGATCTCTCACAGCTTGATCAAAATGACAAAGTTTGGATTCCAGATTTAAAACATTATGGACATGTTGAGAATAAATCAAATCATCCTCGGTCCTACCTGATAAATACACAGGCAGGGAAGATCAGAAGGAACAGGAGACATATAATAGCTGTGCATAGGCCTATTGAAAATGGTGAAAATAGATTTGAACACCAATACCAAGAAGACCAAGGAACTGAAACTGATGCTGGACATAATTACAATAGCAATGAAAATGACAGACCTAAAAGAAGTGTAAAACCACCTCGTAGGTACAGTGATTCAGATTTTTATAAATAAACTAAAAAAAAGAGAAAAGAGAAGATGTGCTGTTTGGTATTTTTATAGTTATCATATGTTGCATATTTGATGTTTGTTTTTATTGTATTGTTGTTTTGAGCTTGAAGACTTACTTTTGGGATCTTGGCTAATAAAGTATCTATGTTTAACTGTGGTGTGAGTTTTACCTTTCACTTCACTATTAATAGGCATACCAACATGAACGTGACTTGAAACTCTTCAGTTGCCAAAAATGGTATACTTTATATAAGGGCATATTATGTTTTATGTAATATTATTCTGTGTCTATGTACTGTATTTCAAGATCAGCGTTGGCACTGCCCGTATCCTTTATTTGAACATACTTTTTTTTCCTTGTGCAATTTATTTGTACTAGGTGAAACCCGTCGAAATCGACGGTTATTTTCAAGGCTTAATATTAATAAATCATCTAACCGCGAAAAATTGAGTGAAATTGTACATATTTTGAGCATTTAGCATTGTTTAATAGAGCAAGAGCCCATGACTGCCAGACCTTCGTTATTTTATAAAAGCTGAAAGTTTCTCAGCAAATGCTCCCAATTCAGTTAAGAATGATCGGCGACTATGACATTTGGATCTTGGTTACTTTGGCAACAAAAAGGTAACAAAGGTCTGAAATTTACAAATAATGTTCGTTATAGTAATGGTTCTTTCATATTTTCTTCAGAGGAATGTTAGAAATCATTTCCTCCATTGCCAGACACTTTGTGTGGTATAAACCCTCTGCCAGAAACCCTTAAAACTTAGGTATGACGAAGATTAATTTTCGTCATTTTATAGAAGCTGAAATTGATATATTTATATAGCTGAAATACTTGGGGAGCTATCAAAAGACGTTTTCTCAAATTATGTTTTATGGTTTTATGGTTAATTATGTTTTTTTGACAAATTGTCTATACATGGATTTAGGAGATAATTTTTTACAAAAAACACGGTCGCTTAAAATATTTTTTTAACACGCCAATTGGGTTATGATTGTTATAGTATGTGTTTTATGTAGACAAAAAGATGCTGATTCGTAAAATATTTTTATTTATTTAATTTTTTATGATTTCTTTTTTCTTTTTTATGAAAAAAATATAATAAACATTTTCCGAGTTTTGTTCATCTTCACCCCGCTGTTCATCTTCACCCCGGTTTACGGTAACATTGAAAATGCTTCTTTTGGACAATTCAGTAACTCCCAATTAATGTGTCTTGTTTAAAATACAATTTACAAATTAACAAATTACAAACTACTATTAAAAGTACAATTACTACTACAACAATTACTAATAACAATTACAATCTATATAATTAATACGCTACATGAAACTTTGTCGGTTGAACTCCTTCGCCATTTCTTAACCGATTTTATCCATTGACGTCTCATTGGAAAGAGCGTGTCGCGTAGATTTGCAAACTGGCCTTACATTTTCGAAAAAGCCCCTTGGGCTCTGCCCCAGTGGCTTTGAAAGTTCCCACGTAATCCTTATGAAGAACATAATTGTTTACATTTTGATCAGCTGTATAATTGAATTGCTGTTATTTATTTTCCAATTCAACGCATAGGTTATATTTCCTGATTTGGTTGAAATTAAATATTTGCTACTTTAATTTACATTCGTACTTTATTCCAATGTAAAAAATCGAGAAAGCCTAGGCAATTTGATATATTTTACCAAAAAAGAAAAATGAATTGACAGGGTACTGTATTTCTTGAGCAATAATTGAAAGAACCGATTTTTTACCATGGAAACATAGGAGTCATAGAACACCACCAAGTAGAAAAAATAGAGATTTTAAAAAACCATTTACTATCGTTATCATCCTAAATAATGAAGAGCACTTACAATATGAAGATTCCCACAAACAATGAACAGGGATGTTAGCCAAAGTGTTACTATTTTGTAGTAAACACTGACATAACTTTATGATGATTGGCAAAGGAAAACACTCTAGGGCAGAATTAAACTGGTACGGCAAGGACATTAAATATATGTTTTCATAAAAGTCAAGTGATTTTAAAATAATATGACTACATCCAAGAAACCATAATAAAACTTTCACCGAAGGATTTGCATTATTCACATTTAAGGGAAACAAAAAACAATCTGAACGACATTTGGCCTTTCAATTCTGCATTTTTTTTCAGGTAAATATAACTTACGTTATAACAGTAACTAGGTACCCAAATTAATGCCAATTGAAGCAAATACAATTATGACAGAGATGTTATGCAGAAAATCAGGCAGTTCTTAAGTAATGTAAACAAAATGTCATCGCTATAAAAAAATACTGTACTTGTAAACATACTAGCGACAACGGGTAGTACTATGCAGACTACATTATCATTGACGAAGATCAACCTGGACCACCTAATGCGGCTATAAGTGGGAAAGATATGTAGAATACACTAAAAAACCAGATCAGCTTTTGAAAAATGATCAAATATTTACTAGAAATGTTGATTATATGTAACTGTTAGTCACGTAATCTATGAGCTGAGTCTTTTAAACTCATCGGAAATTATGTCTTTTATTCGTTTTTAAATAAGTTAATTATTTGTTTTTAAATACTGTAACTACTTTACTTCTTTGCAATTGCTCGATTTCGAGCAACATGTACACTAGTTACTATTATTAAAGTACAAATTACTAATTAAGGTTTCATTAAAAAGTATTATCCACATGGCCAAATCGTAAACAAATCTGTAGTGGGATCTTTTAAGGCTTCTGGGGCAGAGCCCTAAGGGAATTTACTTCGTTTTTCTTTTGATAACTCATCTACAGATCAAGACCTTTCTTTTTACACCCCTACCAAGTTTCTACGCCCAGCCGTTCTCTCAAATTAGTAAAGACAAAGTTTCCAATTACATTTTTAGATTCCCCCATGTTAATCTTATGGGAGAAAGTCCAACTTTGATGGAAGATCCTGCCCAAACTAATAAAGATATCAAAAAACGAAAAACACTTTGCAAAACTACAGATCAGGGCAATTCTTTTGACACTTTAATCATCAAAATCGGTCCAAAAATGAGGGAGGAGTTCTGTTCACAAAAATCGGCTTAGCGTATTATATATATAGATGTTAGTTAATTAATCTGGGGTTTTTTTTATTTCTTTTAGATGAAAGTTATTCGGAAAAGCAGTTATACACTGAGACTCAGGAATGATCAAAAATCATGTTCATAAATTTATTTACTATTTTTATTTACACAATTTCAATAATTCTAGGAAATGCATATAGGCTAGCATTTTTAGTACTAAAGATACATTAATTAATGGTAGGATGGAGGTTGGATTCTAGGACACAAATGCTTAATCTTGGTTCTCATGAAGCCTTGAACGAGATAAATCAAGACTGGGAACTCTCAGGCTGCTGCTAGGGGGTGGAGAGAGGCATTTGCTGGGGGAGGAATCGATTTTGGCTCCGGGGCGTTAGAGGGATGCAAAATACAAGCTCAGGATAC